ATAAACTGAGGCTCAGAAAGGTAAAATGATTGCATGGGATTGGAGTGAGGACTGGATTGGAGTACACCCAAGGGGAGCATGCATGGGGATGGGCTTGCAGGGAATTCAACCCCTTTTACATGACCTATTTAAAGTTGGAAGGAACCTTAGCAATAATCTAGTGTCTAGTTTAACTCTACCCCCAATATACACATCTATTTTACAGAAAAGGAAACCAAGGCCTCAGGGGGTAAAGTTACCTTGCCTTTGTTCATACCAGGCTTGAAATGTTAGTGCTCTAAATCTAAAACTAGGGTTCTTACCACTGCTGCCTGCCTAGTCATGCTTCCCCCATCAGAGTGAGAGCTTCCTGAAAAATGGGTCTATGTCTTTGCCATAGACTAGGTGCCCACCCCACCAAAAGGAGGGACCATATCTCTTCCATTAAAACTGTGGCTCCCCAAGGATGTGGCCACAGCTCCTCCTGGCGCATATAGTCACATGGCTGTGACTCCCCATCAAAATCCTAACTCCCTTCCTCGGCATGTCCTCTAAGCTCTTTGCCCCAAGCCCTAGCCTCCTGCTGGAAGGCTCCCACTAATCACGCCATAATGATGGATCATGGACATCTGCTGGGTGCCATCAGTACTAATGCTCACCCCAGGTGACTTCCCCAGAGCCAGACATGCCGCTGCAGCTAAATTCTACCAGGAGGTTTGGAACTACAGATTGTGGCCTGGAAGAAGAGGTGGCTTCCCCTCCAGCCATGCAGGGTTGGTTATACTCATCAGTACATCTGCTGAGCTTTTCCTCCTGATCCAGTATGGCTTAAACCCTCCTCCCCCAAGCTATAGGCCAGGAGCAGCTGGGGGAGCAAAGGGCAAATTGTCATGACTTCATGACTTGTTAGCCCTTAAGCCAGAATCTAAGCCCCTTAATCTGGAGTCAGGGTTTTAAAAAAAACACTGCATTTGGAGAAAAAAGACTTAGGTCTGAATCCCAGTTATACCACTAGCTAAGTTCAAATTCTGGCCCTGCTGGGGTGAATGCCCACCTGAGTGGGCCTTTGGGTCATATTTAACCTTTCTGAATTTCCCCATCTGTAAAAAGGCGAAAATGACATCTCTCTCTACCTCTCAGACAAGGTCATTATGAAGAATACATTAAGTAATGCCTATCTAGTGTTTTGTAAACTGTGAAGTGCTACATCAATGTGAGCTATGATTATTAAGGCTAAGTTCATCAGGAACGGGCTGAGCCCAGCAGGAGAACAACACAGCTCCTTTTGGCTTGAGACACGGCCCCAGTGGGAAAAACACCTCCTACGCTTTTGTTCCCAGAATCCGCACCTTTATCTATTAAAAATTATAAAGGACTGAAGTCTTCTTGCCCGGCAGTCCAAAGTACACAGGCACAGGGCTGTAAGCTGGGCCATTTGGAGTCACTTGCAGCTATTAGCAGCAATTCCCGAGTTGGTCCCCACCCACCCTTTTCCCCCGCCTCCCCCATCCCCCCAGCCAGCTACTTTCCAAAATTGATTACTAAGCGGCTGCCCAGCCCCAGTCTTGCCTTGGCTTCCCCCATCAGCCACATATGCTAGTAGGGTGAGGCAGAGTGGGTCTGCCAGTGTTGGTGAGGTTGTAGGTCAGGGGCCCAAGTAAGTGGCATCGTTGGACGATGAGAAGTGCACAGCTGGGTGGGGGAGGAGGAAGCGGGGGAGAAGGGTGTAGCAATTGGGGAATCTCTGGCTGTGGAAACAAGCCTTGGAGAGCAATAGCTGCAGGAAAGTCTTCAAGAAGAAAACTCTAGATTTACTAGCATAGTAGAGTAGGAAAAACACTGGCTCTCAAGTCAAAGGACCTGTGTTCAAATCCTGCTTGCAAGAACCTTAGGAAAGTCAATTTCCTCTTCCAGGCCCCCATTTTCTCATTTTTAATAGGAGGTGATAGGATCAAATGATCTCCAATGTTGCTTCAAGCTCCCAATCTTATGATGCTCCCACCAGGAGTAACACATATCATATCGTCCAGCCTCCCGCCTCTAAGCATCCCTTCCTGATAGATACCATGTTTATCTGTAAATACATATAAAACACACCTTTTCACTCTCCCAACCCCCCACCCCATGGCCTAGACTTAATATTCAGCCTTTGGAATGGAAGAATACAAGGTAGGGAGGGTACATGCTAAGCAAGGAGTGACATAAGGCAAAGGGAGTGCCAGCAGACCTGGAGGCTAGTGCCAGCTGCTCAATTTACTGGCGGACGAATCTCGGGTTAAGTTGCTTTCCCTTGCTGGATCTCAAATTCTTCTTCTTTAAATGAGAAAGATGGCTAGCGATGATTTCTCAAGGTCCCTTCCAGCTCTAATGGTCATTAAGTCTGTATGTTCCAAGGGTCTGTCATGATCCCTGGGACGGCCACCACGATAAGACCAGAGACCATCAGAAGTAAAAGGTACCTTTGAGGTCATCTAGTCTACTCCACATACTACAGATGAGGAAACTGAGGGGACTTGCCAAGGTAATAGAAGTAATAAGGAAGAGAGTTAAGATTTGAACTCAGGTTCTTTGATCCCAAATCCAATGTTCTTTTTCACACTGATTCTTGGGTGATATACCCATAGTCATTAGTTTAGACAGGATTTGAAACAGTTCTCTGCTTTCAAGTGCAGTGCCCTTTCCACTACGCTAAGCCAGACCCAGATACCACCAGAGGTGAAGACAAAACATTCTTTTTTCTTTCTACACATGGTGCAGTTTTATCTCATTCTAAAATGTGGCCAGGAAATTTGGATTCAAGAAAACACAAAAGCAAAAAAGCAGAGCTTGAAGCAAAAACTCCACGTGGTCACCTGCCCATCCAAAGAAGAGAGATCCCAGAAGCCCCTCTCTGCAGATCAGACAGGAAGAGAAGACCTCCAAGTGAGTCAGCATGGTCTTTCCCTTCCATCAGCAATCTGGAAGCAACACAGTCAAATGGACAAGGGAGGGGGGAGGAGGAAAGAAGAGAGAGGGAGACAGAGACAAAAAAATAAAGAAAAGGAGAAGGGAGAAAGAAAGGGGAGAAGGGAGAGAGGGAGAAGGAAGAAAGGAGAGCGGGAAGGAGGGGAAGAAGGAAAGAGAGGTGGAAGAAGAGAGAGAAGGGAGAGAGGGAGGAGAGAAGGAAAGAGGAGAGATGGAGACAGAAAAATAAAGAAAAGGAGAAAGAGAGGGGGGAGGGAAGGAAGGAGAGACGGAGGGAGGGAGGGGGAGAGAGAGAGAGAGAGAGAGAGAGAGAGAGAGAGAGAGAGAGAGAGAGAGCAAGTGCACACTCTGGCCCCTGACATTCAGCTCATAACTCTGGGTGTCTGTGTCTGTGAGCATTCCTATGCTTTTCTCACTCAAAGGACCAGAAATGACTAGTTTTACCCTCCAAACATGATCTGGAAAGCAGTGATGAGGCAACACTGGGTCACACCAGGATGTAATATTCACTGGGAGAACCTTCCCTGTGCATTTCCGATTCAAAACAGATGCCCCAGCTCAGAGAAGCTGATTTCTTTTCAAGCTGGAGGGGGCATCAGTCCAGTTCCCAAGGTGGCAATACCACTTCAAACCTCCCTGGATGCTGCAAAGAGTCCACTCCCCAAACTAAACTATCTTTCTCCTCTAGCTCCTAGAAAATGCCCAGCTGCCACTAGCTGCCATCCCTACCCGGACCCCAGTCATAACAGATGGTACCAAATATGTTGTATGGCACAGAGGGCATCAGATATCTGCTTCAAAAGGCAACACTACCTCAGAGCAGGAGTTGATAGGAGTTGGCTAGCCAGTTCTAGCTGACGCAATCAACTAGAATGTTGGACCCCGTCCAGATGGAAGCCCCTATCCAGAGGCAGCCAAGAAAGCTGCTGGTAACAGCAGACCTCTCACTGGGGGCTGCGGATTCAGGTCACTGAGCCCTCCCCCATTAGACTGTGAGCTCTTTGGGAGCAGAGACTGTCTTTTACCCTTCATTTTATCCCCAGTGCTTTGCATAGTACTTGGCACATAGTAAGTGCTTAATAAAGTTTATTGGCTGATTCCAAAGTTCAGACTATCATTGGTACACCAACCTCTTAGGGACTGTCACACTACTGACAAGGGACAGCATGTTGCCCCAGAGAGAGGTCATTTTAACCAAGACAAGCCTGACATACTATACAGGGCATGAGACTTGATGTCAGGAAGTCAGGAAGACTCAGGTTTGGATCCTACATTAGCTGTGTAAGCCAGGACCTGATGGTCTTCAAAGTCCCATCTAAATCCATGACCCTGAGATGAAACTTACTTCCAAAACAAAGGGCCAGTTTTCCCATAGCCTAACCCCAGTGTCCCAGCTCCTGACCTCCAGGTTGTCACCTTAGACCAGGGGTTCTTAATCTTGTTTGTGTCATGAACCTCTCTGGCAGTCTGGTGAAGCCTGGAGACCCCTTCTCAGAATACTGCTTTTAAATGCATAAAATATAAAATAAAAATATAAAATATAATACATGTTATGGAATGCATAAAATATAATAGAAATTACAAAGAAAACCAATTATATTAAAATACAGTTTAAATATACACACACTATATATAATACACACACACACACATATATATATTTTTTTGAAGTTCACAGACCCAAGTTAAGAACTCCTACTACCCTCTGCCCTGGACATACAGTATATAGCCTGCAACTCAAATGTAGTTCACCTAACCCAGCCAGTGGTGCCACCCACCTGAGATTTTTTAACAAAAACAAAAATTTTCATCTAATTAATTTGCTAGCACATATGACACACGTGAACTAATAGACCTAAATCATCTGTCGGTCACTAGGGGTCATGCTGACAGATTTGGACCAACTGTAAAAGATTCCTGCAGCCTTCACAAAATAAACTTTGGATTGTGTGGTCCAGTGCTGGCAAAGCCTAGATGCCCTGGCCTAGATGGACTCTTTCCATTCCCTCCACCTTGATGAAGGCAATAATTAAACCTACCTGGCAACAAATACCTACCTTTGCACCAGGAGGGCCAGGAGGACCAGGGTTGCCATGAGGCCCAGGGGGACCCTGAACAGGAAAGGAAAAAAGAAAAAAGTTAGAGGAAAGCGTATCCTGTCTGATCTACCCATGGTGGTACTCAGTGGCTTCCACTAACACCAAGTCAAGGGTATCTGTGATACAGTGGCTCAGGATTCAGAAGGCCTGGGTTCAATTTCTGACTTGGCTGCTTACTACCTGTGTCACCCTGGGCATTCATCCTTCCTGGGCCTTGTTCTCCTCATCTATAAAATGAGGGGATTATACTAGTTGTTCATAACCTGGCCTCCTAATAATTCCTACCTTTCCAGTCTTCTTCCACCCCATTCCCTTCCACATAGTGTACAATATAGTGTGGTCTTTGCACAAGACACTTTATCTTCCCACTCTGGGAATTTCCCCTGGCTGTCCCCCATGCCTGGAACTCCCTCCCTCCTCATCTCCACCTCCTGGCTTCCTTCAAGCCTCAGTCAAAGGCCCAGCTTCCAAAAGAAGCCTTTCCCAGTCCTCCTTAATTTTGGTGCCTTCCCTCTGAGACGACTCCCAATTTACCCTGTGTATATTCAGTGTGTACATAGTTGTTTACATGTTATTTTCCCCATCAGAGGGTGAGCTACTCAAGAGCAGGAACCGTTTTTTTACCTTATCTTGGATCCCCAGGGCTTCACACAGGGCCCGGCTCATGGTTGACCCTTCGAGTTTGTCTGTGAGGCCCCGTCAAGGTCTAGATGTATAACCCTGTCCTCTCAGGAGCAGAGTTATAAGAGATCAACAATTACTCATTCTTGGCCCCTTCCTCTGCAGAGGGCATGGCTCAACTTGAACTTTCCTCAAGTCTAGCTCTTCCCACTGCCCATGACAGCAGGTGTAATCTAGAAGGCCCAGCTCTCAAATTCAAATCCCTAATCAAAAGTGCCTCTTCAATCTTTCTTGAAGAGATTAGCTACATACAAGGGCATATGGGAGTGGCTATCTCTCCATTCTCACTACCACCAACTTCCTGCACACCCTCATAGCCTCATGCCTATCTTGATGCAACAGTAGCATACAGCCCTGACTCCTCAATCTAACATTCAAAATCCTTCATAGACTGGTTCCACCTTACTTTGCCAGGACAGACCTTTCTCTGTTGACTCTCTTCTGCCCTTCACAGCACATCTTTGCTCATGTACTCCCACCCCCCGTTCCAAACTTGAAATGCCTTGACCAAACTCTTCCAATGCAGATCCTATTCATTCCCCAAGGTCAAATTCAAGTCTCACCTCCTCTAAGAAGGACTTACAGACTGTTAGAACTAGGAGGAAACTTGGAGATGATGTGGGAAGGGACAAGGTAAATCTTTTCTTCTGAGATCTGCCTGTTTCCCTCACTTCCATAACATTTTTTCCTGCAGTACAGGATAAGGACAGAGGACACGTTATTGCCCTCAGACGTTGAAGTCTCTGACTGCTCCAGTCCACTTGGATCTTTTTATTTTCTGACCTTCTACTACATTGCCTATACTACATAGTTTGGCCCTTAATGATTTAGCCTTGTGTCTCCAACAGGATTGGTGGTAGCTCAAATGCTAGACCTGAAGTCAGGAAGATCTGGGTTGAACTTCCACTTCAGAGATTTACTGGTTGTGACCTTGGGCAGGTTATCTAACTTCTCTCGGCTTCAGTTTTACTCATCTGTAACATGGGAACAATAGTATCTATAGCACTTTCCTCACAGGGTGATTTTGAGGATCAAATGAAATAATCAATGGGATATGCTTTGCAAACTTTAAAACACTATATAAATGTCAGCAATTATTCCAAGGCAAGGAAAATGTTTTCTATTTCTTTGTATCACCCGTGTCACAAAGAATGTGAGCCCAGGAGGTGCTCAATAAAACTGGATGGAGGGACTGAATGACTGAAATTCATTTGTTGGTTTACACCAGCCTAAAGGGATCTAAATCTTTCTGATACATTTCCACACCCTTTTGAAATGGTTAGATCTTGCTTCAGGCCACTTTCTCCACAAAGGTCCCTATGCATATGAGGCTTCCAGGCCTGTAGTATAAACAGAGCCCTAACAACCTGGATCCTTGCCCTATGGTCTGGATAATTACTACCATCTGCCCAAAGTCCATGTTCAGGTCCTCTATTAGACGTACCACTGAGGAATCATCACAACAGACCATCACAGAAAAACATTCTGGAAGGAACCTCAATAGGTCACTTAGTCCATTCCCCTGCCTCTAGCAAGACTGCCTTCATCTCTGGTTGCTGACATCTCAACAAACTGAGCAGGGTCTGAACTTGTCTTCTCCTTGGTCCACTCGAGCTAGCTCCTCAGCTGGAGTGTGTCACATTCAGCCAGGTTTCCCCTTCCATGTCTCCTGATCTGAACTAAGCTCATGCTTGACCTATAACTGATTCTGTGGTCTGATTTTTCCCCTGTCTGTGCTTGACTAGGAAGGGCACTCCTATGTTGGAAGGGCACTCAGTCATGGACATGATATAACCCTATAAGATCCACTTCCTCCCCTAGGCCTGGGGAGATAGCATAGTATGATGGAAAGAGTTGTTGGCTGTGGAGTAATAGGACCTGAGTTCAAATCCCAGTTCTGCTCCTAACTACTTTTATGATTTTAGCTAAGCCATTTAACTTCTCTGCACTCAGCGTACTCATCTGTAAAATGAGGGAGTTAGACTAGGTGACATTCATGTCCCTTCCAATACTAAATCTACGGTGTTGTGACCCTAAAGTTTCCCTTAAAATAATCAGTTTTCAATGCCAGAAATAACAACAACAACAATAAATGTAATGGGGGCAGGGGGCATGATTTTGTTTTCCCCTAATTCACTTACTTATAACAGAAATAACGAGTTGTTGACACGTAAACGAAGTGCAAAAAAATGTCTACACCCTATTATCCTTTTATGAGGTATGAAGGAAATTTCCCTGATGGAATTAAAAGGGTAGCTTTTTAATGACTGTTTGAAGATTGGCCAAAACCCTGCCAGCCTGCCAGCCTTAGAAGCAGTCTAGTTGGGGCCAGGAGCAACTACATGGAGTATGGCTCCTAAAAATACCAAAGGCATACAAAAAAAGGTATACCAAAAAAGGTATACCAAAAGGCAGCAGGGAAGGAGATTTTCTCTCCTTCTCCTCATTAGCCATGGCATATCTCAATGGAGTTACTCAATCAGTAGGAGATACCACATTCACCAAGGAGCAGAGACACATACTCTCCAAACAGACATAGAAACAGAGAGGCAATTGAGGCATTAAGGGCAGGGAAGTTTTGTGACATATAACAAAAGAGAGTTGACTATGGGTTCAAAGGATAACTATAGCCCTAGAGTTAAGATATGGAAAGGAGCAGAACCAGGGACCCAGCTGAAAGACCTTCCCAGCAAAGATTCTGTGCAGGGCAGGCTGAGGGCTGGTGTTTGAGAAGGCATTATGGGACCCTGTAGTACTGTAGGTGTAAGCCACTGTATATATTTGTGGGAGAGTGTGTCCCACTTTATGGATGCGTGAAGGGGAATGTTTTGTAGCCACTGTTCAGACTATACATTTTAGTATATGCCTTTGCTTTGAGCTAATTGTGTCAACTGGCTGACTTTCAAAGGTAAGCTCACTAGTGGGGGCTCATGAAATACAGTTTTGGAGTTTGGACCCACAAAATAACCTCAGAATTGAAGATAGTAGCAATCATTCTAACATAGGTCCCAACCTATAAATCTGTGAGTAGTGGGTTGTGAAGGTAACCCAGAGAAGGCATTATATAAATAACTCAGGTAATGCTTTAAAGTTTTAAAAATGCATACAACTCTAAGAGATAGATATTACAAGAATTATCTCCATTCTTCTTTGGCCTGGCCTTGGTATAAAATACTCCTTCTACCACTACATGTTGGTAACTCATCTATAATTTATAGTTTTTGAGAAATGCTTAGAGTATAAAAGAGTTAAGCCCATGATCACACAACCAGAATATGTCAGAGGCAAGATCTGAACCCAGGTCTTCCTGACTCTAAGTCCAGCCTTCTGTCCTCTACCTCTAGTCTTCATTTTACATATGGGAAAATTTAGGCCCAAAGAGATAAACACTAATATCTAACATTTATGTAGCGTTTTAAGGTTTTCAAAGTATTTTACATATGATAATAACAATAATAACTAATATTTATATAGTCCTTTAAAGTTTGTGAAGCACTTTACACATATGATCACATTTGATCTTCACAATAACCCTGGGAGATAGGTGCTATTATTATCCTCATCTTACAGAGGAAGAAATGGAGGCTAAGAAAGTTTAAGTAACTTTCCCAGGGTTAGAAAGCTAAGACATGATTTGAACTCAGGTCTCCCTGACTTCAACTACAATACTCTATTGACTGCATTACCTAGCTACCTATTACGTTATTTGATAAGATGACTTATCCAGGCTTATAAAGGTATTGTCATCCAGGATTCAAACTCAGGTCTCCTGCTTTGACCACTGATGGCCCTTCCAATTATTGAGAGTTTGTGATTCTGACTCCTGGTTCTCTAGTCTTTCACTACATCATGTTCCTCCTCAGGACTTTTATCTAGTTAACCCAGTGGACTGAAGCCCAACCATATAGGACCAATTCATTCTGGGGAACCAATGTATTCCGGGGAAAAGACAGCTGGTGGGAGAGCAGTGTTCAGGGATGATACAGGAAGAGCTCTGACAGACAAACCCCCTGAACATATACCCCACACCCACAAATACCACCAAGCCTGCATAGAGTCAAGTGGGAGCAGCTACTGCCAGGACCACCCTTTCTTGGTTCTAGACCAGGGACTGCCCCAAGGAATAGTTTTCTATTTTTTCCCCCAAAAATGGCTTCTACATTTACAGCTGTTTAAGGCTAGAGGCTTTTTCCTGTTTCTCCCAGCCTCCTGATTCCACTCTGGCCTCTGCCTCACTGAGAAATGAACAAAATATTTGAAAAGGGGCCAAACAAACTGTTTCCATAAATGCTTCAGCTTAAAAAGCAGAGTGGGGGAAGGGACAAGGGATTCCCCCATCCACCCACTCAGTCCACCCTGGTCTATGGAATGGCTGAATTCTGGAGGGAGGGAAGAATGGGGAGAAAAAACTCTCCAGCATGTGAAACAAGGTGACCTAGAGCAGGGGTCCTCTTTTGGCTGTCTAGTGAAGTCTATGCACCCCCATCACAGATAAATGTTTTTAAATTTATAAAATAAAATACATAAGATTAGAAAGGAAATCAGTTATGTTGAAATAAAAATTTGATTTTTTTCCCATTCAAGTTCATAGATCCCCTGAAATCTATATATAAGAGTCTATGGACTCTAGAAAGAAAGAAAAAGAAAAAAGGAAAGGGAAGTGAAGGGAAGAGAGAAAGGAAACAGCAAGAAAGAGACAAAGGAAGAAAGAAAAGAAAGAGAAGAGAGAGAGAAAGGAAGGAAGGAAAGAAGGAAGGAAGAAAGGATGGGCACGAGGCTAGAAGACAAGAAGAGAGGCCTATGTTCTAGCTCCAGTTTTGCCATGAATTGCTTAAGTGATCTCAGGCAAGTTACTAAGCTTTATTGTGACTTCAGTTTCTAAACCTGTAAAATGTATAGGGTTGAGTTAAAGCTCTTTGCCAGTTCTAACATTCTACAGTTCTAAGAATCCATAGGTTTTCCACTGAGCTGGTCAAAAGCAATGGTTAGAGGGCTGGATCTGGAGTCAGGAAAACCTGAGTTCAATTCTGGCCTCAGATAACTTCCTAGCTGTGTGACTCTGGATAAGTCTAAATCTCTGTTTGCCACATTTCCTCATCTGTAAAACGGGGAAAATAATAGGGCTTACCTCCCAGGGTTGTTGTTGTATATCAAACGAGAAAGAGCTATGCAAATGCTAGTTATTACTATTATTTTTATTATTCCATTACACAAGTCTGCCCATTTTTAGCCCCTTGGCCCTATCCCAGAACAAGAGAGAACAGCTCCCACCCCATAAGCAAATGACCGATCTCCTCCCGCAAGAGTCCCACATTGGCCCCCTAACCTTTCCCATCTTGCAAGCTGAAGCCTGGCCCAGAGCTGCTCTGCTGACAGCAGCTTGGGGAGCTGGATGCACCGAGAACAAATGGAAAACGGAAACATCACTTCAGCCAGAGTGGATTCCACCGACCGACTTCCCAGAGAGCAGGGGGCCGGGTCTGGAGGGAACTGTGGGTTTATGTAATTGTCTCACCAGGAACACTGGCGAGCTATGAGCTAAAAATAAGCGCCATCCCACTCCGTCTTCCAGGGCTTCGGTCAACGGCCTGGGGCAGTTGCTTGGCCCAGGAAGGAACATTTCGGGGGCATTGCTGTCGAGTTGCATTATGGGCATTCTGCTTTATGTGACCAGTAGTTGGACCAGAGGTTTCTTCTCCAGGGGAATCTCTGGTTGGAACCTGCCAGGAAACTCGGGGGCATCATCAGGTCACCAAGATTTATCATCACATTATCAATGGCAACAGCTCAAAGAGACAACCACTTACCCGGGGTCCTCTTCTGCCTGATATTCCAGGCAACCCAGGCAAGCCGGGGGGGCCCTAGAGAGATAGAGAGAGAAGCAAGTATTAGATACTGCCAAGGGACAGACAACATCACAGACAGAGAATGGCAGACCTGGTAGGAACCTTAAAACACACAATGTTAAAACACAGAACATTAGGGCTGGAAGGAACCTCAGTATATAGAATGTTAGACCAACATCAGAGATGGAAGAGCACTGAGGTCATGTAGTCTACCCACCACATTTTATAGATGAGAGGGTTCCATCTTGAGTAGTGGTTCTCAGATCCTTTTGGCTCACCACAAGCTAGTAAGTCAATCAGTAAGCATTTATTAAGCACCTACTATGTGCCAGGCAATGTGCTAAGTGCTGGGGATGCAAAAAGAGGCGAAAGACAGACCAGCACTCAAGGAGCTCACAATCTAAAGGGGGAGACAATAAGCAAATAAATATATGCAAACAAGCTATATGCAAGATAAATAGGAAGCAACTATAACGCTATTATTCTTTGCCATGAAGGATTTCCACACAGCACAGCAAGGCCAGAGATCACCTGTGCACATGTGATTGGAAGAAGTGATCAGAGAGAATTTGGGGCACACCAGCACGTCACTTCACACCCTTTTAGAGCCCCAGGTTCTCAAAGGGGCTTCTTTGCGCTATTCTAGCTATGCTACAGACAAAAACCAATACCACCTGACAGTAAGCGGGGCACCCAGCATCACACATTGAGTTGATGACAGATGCTAAAATAATCACAGAGTCATAAGAACATAAAGAACCAGAAGGAACCTTAGCAACAACATAGTCCTACCCCTCATTTAATGATCATCATTTTATAGGTTGTCATCATTCCCCCACTCTACCCCCTTATATTTTAAAACACATGCATGGTTCTGTTTTAGTGTTCTAAATCACCCCCATAAAATACGCAGGCCAGGGACCATTCTCTCCATGGAACAGATTAGTAAATGAAGACTGAAAAAAGAAGCTATTCACCAGATCACATAATGAGTTGGCGGCAGACCTAGAATTAGAGCCTAGGTCTCCTGACTCCCAAATCAGGGCTCTTCTCACCCTACCATGCTGCTCCTGCTATGTTTCCAGTCTACTGCCCTACTAGCCAAGCACAGACAGATAGACAGACAGCTAGATAAACACAGACAGACAACAGATAGACAGACAGATAGACACCGACAGACAAGAGATAGATAGATAGATGGACAGCTAGATAAACATAGACGACAGACAGACACAGACAAACAACAGATAGGTAGATGGACAGACAGCTAGATAAACACAGACAGAAAGACAGACAGCTAGAAAGACACAGATAGATAACAGATACAGATAAATAGACAGAGAAACCAGACAGATAGATAGAGAGATATAGACAAATAACAGATAGACAGACAGCTAAATAGATATAGAAAGATGGACAGCCAAACACAGCTAAACAGACATAGAGACAGATAAATTTGTACCTATCTTTATCTCTGTCTCTATTTTGTTCTGTCTATATCTAAATCTCTATTTATATCTATTTCATTTTTACCCTAGTTGCTGATGTGTTATTTTCCCCATTAGATTGTAGGCTCCTCAAGGGCAAAAACTCTCTCTTACCTTTCTTTGCATCCCCATTGCTTAGCACAATTCCTGGCATAATAAGCACCTCATAAATGTTTATTGACTGACTGACTGACAATTGTGCCAGCTGTCGGTACAGGCAATAACACTAGAGGAGCCTGGAGGACAAGCCTTTGAACCAATGACCCACCGTAGAAGTTTAGAACCCAACCAGCCCCAGGCATGGCAGCTGGAAGAAGGCATCTGAAAGAGGCTGTAAGCCAAAGTTCCTGTTGTCCCCCTCCTAGATCTCTACTGTGCTCCCCTTCATCTTCTCCATTTGAGTTTCTCCCTCTGTGCCCTCCCAACGGAATTCTCCCCTGCTGGCATCTTTGATCTCTCCCACCCCTGCATTCAGTCTTATTGAAAGGTTTTCTTCCTTCTCCACCATCTCCTTGGCACTCAATGTTCCATGCGTACCCTCTCCTCTTTCCCCCATATGTAAACCAGGCTTTTCAAAGGGCCAAAGCCTCAGAGACAATAACCCAGCCTGTCCCCTGATCCCCTATCTACTCTCCAGGCCTGTAACCAGGGGAACGAGAGACCCATTCAGAGTATAAGAGAAGAAAATTCAGCTTATGCCATCCCCAAGATGTTCTCGAAGATCTTTTTTCGTTCTACCATGTCATATAGCCTAACATTCTATGTGCTGAAGTCTCTACCAGCCTGGCTGTTGTCAGGTTCTGTGTTCTAGTATTCTATGTTCCAGAAAGCAATTTGGTCTAACGGAAAAGACACTAGAGTTAGGATCAGAGGACCAGGGTTCAATGTCTGTCTCTGCTACTGTCTATCTGAGTGACCTTGGGTAAGTCCCTTCACATCTGTAAAACCCTTATCCATAAAACCAGCGGGGTGGACGAGAGCCTCTCAAAGATCCCTCATGGCTCTAGATCAGATGATTCTAAGGCCCCTTTCAGTTCTAACAGTCTACATTCCAATATTCTGTGGCAACTTATTGCTGCAAGGAGAGGCTAGGATTTCACACACCCAGTGACGGGAGGAATTAAAGCAGGCAGTAACAAAGGCCTGCCAAGCCCACTACCCAGAACCCAAGACCCTGACTGTCTTTATTTCATCAAAGCATGTCTAAAAACTTGGCAGAGAAGCACAGGGAGCCATCCCTGTTTGAATAGGAATGACAGTAACAAGAGAGGGAGTGTTGCCTAGTGGATAGAACACTAGTCCCGGAGCCAGGAACACCTGGGCCCAAGGCTGTATGACCCAGGGGAAGTCGTTTAATCTCCCAGTGACCTAGACAACTCTCTATGGTCAAATATTTGAAGGTGCTGAGCAGTATGACCAGGAGTTTTATCAGCTGGGCTCCCTAGACAATGAAATCACAGGACCAGTCCCCGTCTCCTATCCCTAATAAAAATAACCCCTTAAATGTGTGGGGTGACTTAGACTTTTTAAAATTTTCCCAAAGCTTCCATATTAACCATCTTATTTAATTCTGACATCAGCCTTGTGACACAGAGAAAAGGAGTCTTTTTCCCATGTGACAAATGGGGAAATCAAGGCCCAAAGAGAGGAAGAGATTTTCCTAAAGTCACAAAGCGAACAAGCAGGATCCTGTCTCCAAGTTCAGTACTCTTTTCCCTGCACCATGATTTCCTCTTGTCAACAGGATTTGGTCTTTTAGGGGCTTTTTAAAGAGACTTTTGTTTTTGAATAACCTGTGTGGGATACTTGATCAGCCCCATACCACAGGTTTCTAGTTCGAAGTAGAAAAAGTATGAGAATTCCTACATGATTTGGCTGATAATTAATTCCCATTTCTCACCCTTGGGAATTTTGGTTAAGAGAACAATGTGTTCTCTCATGAAAGGGTAAATTTTTAAAAAGGACTTAGCCAACACTCCCCTCACCAGCCCTCCCTATATCCGCCACTTGAGACATGTAAGATAGAGAAATTAAGGTTGCATGGTCTCTTAGACAGATGTCTGGACTGGGAGGCAAAAGAACTAAGATGCAGTCCAGTCTTTGCCACTAATTCACAGTATGACCTTGGGTAAGTCCTCTATTTTCCTACTTTTCACTTGGGAAGGATAATCCCTGCCTCTCACATCTGGAAATGGAAGGCCTGACTTTCTTTCCCGGACTCCTCTCCTTTAATTATGACTTCCAGCTACAAAGGACTTTGGCACAGGCTTTCCCTGAAGCAAATGTGCTTGTATTCTGGGGCCAGTCCAGCTCACTGGCCAACCTTCTTCCCGTGGGTGTATTTCTAAGGAAGCTGACGTATGACTACACAGATTTACAAATGCTCCGTTGCTGGGTTGCTCTTGGTCACGTCTAGGCTGGAAGGTGGAGAGAGCAGAATCACCTTGGGGGACATCAACCCACTGCTTCGGGGTTTACACTCCCACTGTACTCAGAACTGGAAGAAAAGTCCAAGGAGCAAAGGATGGAACACCAAAGAAACACAACTAATTGAGGGTAAGGAAGGAACTGGAAGCTAGGCAATATAGTTCTCAGTGACTATGTCAGTTTCCTTTCCCAACTCTTTCTCTCTGACATGTCTTTCCAATACCCTTGCAATGTGGGAGAGGAAAAAAACTATCATTCCCATTTCAGAGATGAAAACAATGAGACTTGCTCATGGTAACAGAGTCAGGGACAGAGTCGGCCCTGAAACCCAGCTCATGAAAAGTCCCCTATGTCTATGACAACACTCAGGTACTAAGGACAAGCATCTCCTTCATATCTCCAACACTAAAACTTCCTCAGCTGAAGAAAAGAGCAAACTTTTCACTAACCAGGGCAGAAAGGCCCTGGATGGGAGACTGACCTCATACCCAACATCTGCCCAGAGCAGACACATTAAGTGCCAGAGTAGTTACTCAAGTGAGAGTCACCATCCCCAATTCAGTCCAGATATGTGCTCATCGGATGATATTGGGGCAAAAATGAATTCCTTCAAGTGCTGACCTGATTCAGCATCTGTGTTCTCCCAACCCCCTCTCCCATTGAAACGCTGTAGAGATCTGTGGGAACCTTGGGAGGGGTCTGAGCCTCTGAGCTGTCCCCGCATGGTGGCTCAGCCTGAGCGTTTCAAGTTTTCAGTGCTTACTTTGTTAGCAAGGACAGGAGCTAGTGGGCTGGGTTCCCTTTCTTCCCCTCTCCTGCCACCCCTCCTTCCCAACCAATCTGAGACCCTGCCTGTTCTCAGAGCAGTGGAAAAAAATCGGCCATCTCTTTCCAGGGAACCAAGCCTGAGTTGGGGTGGCTTTCCTGATGATTCACAAGGAAAGGGTGGGATTTTCCACCTCAAGCAAACAACGAGCCCTCTGAGGCCAGCACACAGCACAACTGCTCTGTTCATAGAAGAAACTGGGAGGGGAGCATGGGGGCTAAAGACCCCTGGAAGGGGAAATGAAGAAGGTCAAGCTTCTTTCTCACACTAGCCCT